GGAAGGCGGGGTAGGGGTCTGCCTAGGAAAGGTTGGAGGGAGGGGGTAAAGGAGGTTTTGTGTGTGAGGGGCTTGGACTTCCAGCAGGCATGCGTGAGCGTGCTTGATAGGAGTGAATGGAGACAAATGGTTTTTAATACTTGACGTGCTGTTCGAGTGTGAGCAAAGTAACATTTATGAAGGGGTTCAGGGAAACCGGCAGGCCGGACTTGAGTCCTGGAGATGGGAAGTACAGTGCCTGCACTCTGAAGGATGGGTGTTAATGTTGCAGTTTAAAAACTGTAGTGTAAAGCACCCTTCTGGCAAGACAGTGATGGAGTGAATGATGGTGAAAGTTTTTCTTTTTCGGGCCACCCTGCCTTGGTGGGAATCGGCCAGTGTGATAATAAAAAAAAATATATATAATGTATATTGTAGCACACTACACATACATGTATATGTATAAACACTGGTCTGAATTTTCTCCTATTTTTTTAAATAGTTGTTTTTATCTATTTTTTTTTCATCTCCATGGGGAAGTGGAAAAGAATCTTTCCACTGTAAGCCATGCATGTCATAAGAGGTGACTAAAATGCTGGGAGCAATGGGCTCCAGGCATTTTAGTTAGGATGTTTGAATGAGCATGGATGTGATGCAGATAAGAATGAGACGAATGCCAGTGTTATGAATGACAAGAAGATGAGTGTCCTAGCACTAAGTGAAACAAAGCTGAAGGGGATAGGAGAGTTTCAGTGGGAAGAAATAAATGGAATTAAGTCAGGAGTATCTGATAGAGTTAAGGAAAGAGTAACTATTATGTTGAAAGATCACTTATGAAAGGAGAAGAGGGAATATAAATGTACAAGTTCAAGGATTATGTACATTAAAATAAGGGTAGAATGCAAAGAGTGGTTTATAATGCACCTGGAGAAAAGAGGCATGTAGATTGTAGATGAATGGTTCAGAGAACCGACATGTTGATAAATTAGACACATTTGCAACTTTTGGGTATCTTTATTGAGGAAACATTTTGCCACACAGTGGCTTCATCAGCCTATACAAAGGAGAATCTTGAAGAACAGGAGGATTAATGGACTGACCACATCGACCCAAATTTGAGGGACTGATTACCTCATTCTCCTCCTGTTCTTCAAGATTCTCCTTTGTATGGACTGATGAAGCCACTGTGTGGCGAAACGTTTCCTCAATAAAGATACCCAAGAGTTGCACATGTGTAATTTATCAGAGGCATGTAGAGGAGACTGGGTTTTCTTCTATTTTCTTTCTAATTCTTGTTCTTGTTTATTTCCTCTTATCTCCATGGGGAAGTGGAACAGAATTCTTCCTCTGTAAGCCATGCGTGTCGTAAGAGGCGACTAAAATGCTGGGAGCAAGGGGCTAGTAACCCCTTCTCCTGTATATATTACTAAATTTAAAAGGAGAAACTTCAGTTTTTTCTTTTGGGCCACCCCACCTCAGTGGGATACGGCTGGTACGTTGAAAGAAAGAAAGATGTAGAGGAGAGAGAGTGAGGGATTTTGGAAGATGTTATGCAAGCGTTTAGGAACTTTTGAGCCAAGTGAGAGAGTAATTGTGGTATTGGACCTACATGCTGACGTGGGAGAAATGGTCATAGAGGGTAAGGGTGTCAAATGAAATGATAATGGAGGGCCTTTGATTGAATTTTGTATTGAAAGGGGTTTGGTAATAAGTACAAAATACATATTTTAAGAAAAAAAGGATAAGTATACAAGATGTGATACATGGCATAATGGCAGTAGTTTGTTAACTGATTGGTAGACTTCAGGATGTGCATGTTTATAGGAGGGGTCACAGATATAATAGAATATTTTTTAATTGCAGCTACAGTGAGAGTAAAAGCTAGATGGGATACAAAGATAATGGAATCAGCAGGTGAAGGTTTATAAACTAAAGGAGGAGGCAGTTAGGGTAAGATATAAATAACTATTGGAAGAAAGATAGGCTAGTGAGGGTACAGACAATGAGATGGAAGAGGTATGAGGTAGATTTAAGAATGTAGTGTTAGAGTGTTCAGCAGAAGTATGTGGTTACAGGAAAGCGGGGTGCGGGAGGGAAGATGAGAGATTGGTGGAATGATGAGGTAAAGAGAGTAGTAAGAGAGAGAAACTTAGCATATGAGAGGTTTTTACAAAGTCAAAGTGATACAAGGAGGGAGGAGTATATGGAGAGAAAAAGAGAGGTTAAGAGAGTCGTGAAGGAATGTAAAAGGAGAGCAAATGAGAGAGAGGGTAAGATGCTATCAACAAATTTTGTTGAGAATAAGAAAAAGTTTTGAAGTGAGATTAATTGGTTGAGTAAGCCTAAGGAATGAATGGATTTGACAGGTAAAAATAGTTCAGGAGAGTTATTAGATGGGAATATTTTAGGAACTGTTAAGTGATGAAAATAGGGAAGCTGTGATTTCGTGAACTGGGCAGGGAGGTATAATATCTTGTAGAAGTAAGGAAGAGCCAGTTGTGAGTATGGGAGAGGAGTGAGAAGCAGTGGGTAGAATGAAAGGGGGTAAAGCAGCTGGGACTGATGGAATAAAGACAGAAATGTTAAAGGCAGATGGGAATATAATTTTGGAGTGGTTGGTGCTTTTTATTTAATAAATGTATGGAAGAGGGGAAGGTACCTAGGGATTGGCAGAGCGCATGCAGAGTTCCTTTGTATAAAGGCAAAGGAGGCAAAAGAGAGTGTGTAAAAATTATAGGGGAATAAGCCTCTTGAGTATACCTGGTAAATTGTATGGTAGTTATCGTTGAAAGAATTAAGAGTAAGATGGAGAGCAGGATAGCAGAGGAACAAGGAGGCTTTAGGAAGGGTACGGGGTTTATAGATGGGAAGTACAGTGCCAGCACTCTGAAGGAGGGGTGTTAATGTTGCAGTTTTATAACTGTAGTGTAAGCATGCCTCTGGCAAGACAGTGATGGAGTGAATGATGATGGAAGTTTTTCTTTTTCAGGCCACCCTGCCTTGGTGGGAAACAGCTGATGTGTTAATAAAAATAATATAAAATGACAGTGAACAGTATTTAAATAAGTGTAAAGAGGTTTTGTTGCATTTATTGATTTGGAAAAGGAATATGATAGGGTGGATAGTGGAGGCAATGTGGCAGATGTTGCAAATGTATGCAATAGGAGCTAGGTTACTGGAAGCAGTGAAGAGTTTTTACGAGGATAGTGAGGCTCAAGTTAGAGTATGTAGGAGAGAGGGAGATTATTTCCCAGTAAAAGTAGGCCTGAGACAGGGATGTTGTTCAATATATTTATAGATGGGGTTTTAAGAGAAATGAATGCTTGGGTATTGGTAAGAGGCATGGGATTAAAAGATAAATAATCTAACACAAAGTGGGAGTTGCCACAGATGCTTTTTGCTGATGACACTGAGTTTCTGAGAGATTCTGAAGAAAGTTGCAGAGGTTGGTGGACGAGTTTGGTAGGGTATGTAAAAGAAGGAAATTAAAAGCGAACATAGGAAAGAGTGATGAGGATAACAAAAAATTTAGTTAATGAAAGACTGGATATCAGATTAGGGAGAGGCAGTATGGAGGAAGTGAATGTATCTGGATATTTGGGAATGGATTCATCAGCAGATGGGTCTATGAAAGATGAGGTAAACCATAGAATTGATGAGGGAAAAACAGTGAGTGGTACACCAAGTAGTGTGTGGAGACAAAGAATGTTATCCATGGAAGCAAAGAGAGAAATGTAGGAGAGTATATTGGTGTGAAGCATGGGTGGTGAATATTGCAATAAGGAGAAGGCTGGAGGCAACAGGGATGTTGTGTCTGAGAGCAGTGTGAGGTGCATTGAATCTGTAATTTGGAGATTAGGAGGAGATGTGGGGTTACTAAAAGTATTATCCAGAGAGCTGAGGAAGGGTTGAGGGACATCCAAACTGTCAATCTGAGTGCTGCCTCTGCAAAGTGATTATGTGTGAATGATGGTGAAAGTGTTTCTTTTTTGGGGTCACTGCCTTGGTGGGAGACAGCCAGCAAGCTAAAAATAAAAAGTACATATCTTTCTCTTCAAAATGTTAGCCGTCTCCCACTGAGGCAGGTGACCCAAAAAAGAAAGACTTCTACTTCTTCTTAGGCTCTTGTTCTCTTGCATAAACCTGACTTTATTAATCAGAATTACCTCTTCCCAGTAAAACTCTTGCACTCTTATTAACTTTGATTTACTCAGTTTTTTTTTCATTCATAACATTAACATATGAAAATAAAAAAATGACTATAAATCACTACAAGAAGACTCAGATAAATTGTGTAGATGAAGTGAACAATTAATAACTGAATTAAATATGGGTAAGTCCCATGTAATGCAACTGAGAGAAAATTATAACAGACCACACGAAAAATACAGACTGATATAAAATATTAACTGCATAAGACAAAGAGAAATGAATTCTGAGACTCAACAACAGAGATCCTGAGGCCACAGTAGCAAACTGAGAAAGAAGAGGTGATGGAAGGATACCAGGAAGTTCTTCACAGTGCTGGAACAATGCAATGAAATGTATGAGAAGGTAGTCAGTGCTACAACCACTAGAAATTAAAAAATGTACAATTGATTAAATACCAAAGATGGGTTACCATGAGCATAACTTGTATCTTTTAGCTGAAAATAAACAATTACAGATAGATATTTGCACAGACATAAATAGGTAACATACAGTACACACACAGACTCCATATAAGTGTAGATCCTCAAATGTAGCACCTTTGTATCTAGATGTCTCTTAAAACTAACCTTTCCTTTACACAGTAGTAGCAGTAGCAGCAGTAGTAGTAGTAGTAGTAGTATAGTAGTAGCAATAGTAGTATTTTCTAAACATATTACATAACTTTCTTTTAAATTTTTATATATATATTTTTAAATTTTACTAACAAGAACAAAAAAGTTGACTATTTGTCCCTGTATATACTGCATAAATAGAACTAAAATTTATCTTAGTTATATGGCAAAAAATTCTATAAAAATTCTGCAACTCACCTCTGTAGGAAGTTTCTCCAACAATATGATCATCATTGAGCTTCTTCCATGATCCATCTGTTCGATATTCGATGTCATAGTAGGCGACGGGAATGTTCGTGTCAAGAGGGGGCAGCCAGGAGATAACGTAGCCATCCAACCCATCCGAAACCTTCTTAATCGACACATTCCGTGGGGGTGGAGGCGGAGGGCCTAGCGGAAGCGATCCTTTGTCAATGGGATACAGCGGGCAGCGGGAGTACAGCAGTAGAACGACGGCAGTGGTGGTATTGGCGATGGTGGTGGTAGTAGTGGCGATGGTGGTGGTTGTGGCAAGGGTAATGGTGGTGGTGGTGGTATTGGTATTTGTGGTGGTGAAGAAAGTAGTGGTAATGGCAATGGTGGTTGTAGTAGTTAGTAGCAGCAAATGTTATGTTGGGAGCAGTGGCAGTGTTGGTGAAACAGTAGTGGTGAGTGTTGTATTAGCAACCAGTGGTGGTGGTATGAATATTATAACAACAGTGATTGTAATAAAAAAAAACATCATTATGAAGTTCAAATTTGTTGACAAAAGTGTTATAAGGTGTAGAAGTATTTAAAGCAGTAGAAACAAAAATGTTTTGACAGTGCCATAAATAGTAATATAGTGAGATAAAATAACAATATTGTTGCATTTGTAACAGGGATAATATTACATGACATTTTAAATGCATGTTCCAAGAGTGAATATTAAAGTGGTGAAAATAATTGGAATGTTGAAGAAATTTTTATAGCAAGGTGATGTTTATGTTTGTGTATTTGATATTTATAATTAATTAAATTATTATTAGAATTTTGAAGTTAAAAGTATTGGAAATGCAGTATTGATAGTATTGTATAGTAGTATCAGATGGAGGTGTGACAGTGTAGTTATATTAAAAATGGTCATAGTAGTGATTATTTGTTCATATGGTAAGAACAGTCAGTAGTCAATTGTCAGGTGGTGGCAGATGGTTGGTTGATTAGTGACAGCGATGGTGGTATTGGTGGTTTTGGTTGTGGTTGTAGTAGTGGTGGTGGTAGATCGAGCCATCCAGCAGCCAACGGGGTGGACAAGAAGCCAGCCAGCCGACCAACCAAACGAGGGCGGCGGGTGGCAGGCATCAGCGGCAGGTAAAAAGAGATCAAGACGAAAAACGTGACAGAAACGAGAACAGCTCCAGTCCAGAAGGAGGTAGTTATAGTGGTTGTAGTTAGTAAGGTCAAGGTGGGTTGCCGCAACAACTCTCCTAAGGACTCTTATAGGCTCAATCTTTAAATACTGTATAGCATTAGGTATTATCTACTTATTGGCTTCCAGATTTAAGTGAAAACATATCAATATGATGGTACTGTATATTTGCAATAATTGGAAACTTTTTATTTATTAGGGAAGAAGCTATCAATATTTAAATATTATTTATTTTTCTTTTATTTACTGGAGATGGGACACTGAAGAAAATAAGCAAATATTTAAACAATGATTAAGGATATTAATCTAGATTCATTACTACCTGTCATTCAAATAATGCTCAAGTGAACAAACTTTAAATCTTAAAATTAAAAACAATGTTAATCAAAATATGTAACATGTATCAACTTTCTTCAGGGAAGACATTTGGATTGCGAAAAAGATTTTGTGAAAAATCTACGTTTAAACAACAAGCCAATTGCATGCCATCCATGCACCTGAACAAAATGGCGTCCATAGAAGATGATAGGCAGAGCGAGACATCACAGATACAGGAATTAGAAGAGATGTTATTAAAGGGAATAATCACTTGCTAAGTCTTTAAAGCAAGAAGCATAAAGAAACAACAGCAGCAGGAAGAGGCTAGAGCTTCAGAGGAAGAAATGAAGAAGCAGTAATCACACTGCTAGATTATAAAAGATATGGTTATTCACTGTGCCTAAGGAACTGCTGCAGGCAGGACTACTGAAGAACTCAGAACAAAAGCCTAGCTAGTCAGGCTAGTTATCTGGCAAAAAAAAATAAATAAATAAATGCAGTTTGGGAGCAGCACATGAGCCTAGAAGAATAATATGCACAGGAATGGGATACGAGGACAGTGCATGAATCTCCTTAACAGTATAAACAGCAGATGTGAAAAATTAACACAGAAAAGCATAACACTAGACAAATTAGATGATATACAGTACAACTAGTATTAGAAGGAAGACAAAGTAAAAGTCAAAAGATCATAAAGAATTAGAAAAGTGCAGTGGTTCTGTAGAGAACATGAAAAGAAAATTATTTTTTAAGTAAAATGCACAGAAAAATATAAGTAAAAAAGATAATATACAATGAAGTATATGAGTGGGAGGATGATGCCAAGGATAACCAAAGAAAATGAAAGGTTGAGGTGAAGGGAAGGGAGGGTTATCTGAGCCAAATTACCCACGCTGATTCTGATATTATATTCAATAAGCAATTATCAAGAATTTTTAACATGAAGGTTCAGTTGATATTAACAATCTTATAAAAAGGGGGCAACTGGAGGGGATGAAAAATATTTTAAATCATACTGATTCTCCTTCTAATTATGAAATAATATGGGGCTACTGACTGATCTCCATACTGTGTACTGTTGTTGGAATGAGTGTATGGCCTTTAAGGTCAAATGAGAAGCTAAAGGAAAACTATTATGGCACACACTGACAAATTTACTATCTGGTATTGTAATGAATGTGGTAAATACAGTAATTATTCATAATTAAAAGTTATGAAGACAGTTGCAGTTAATAATTTTTTTAAATGCAGAAAAGGTTCTGCATTAAAAGAAATAAATAACTTTTGAAAAATATTAGTGTTGATTAATAGTATGAAGCAGTATACTATAATGATCCAATGATTAGTCTTTTGAGAGTGAAATTAGCTGAGTTAAAAATCATATGCTGCATTATCAGAACAGAGCACATGCTATGTTTCTAACTAATAAGGTACCAATGGCTGACATTTGAATATCAGTCACTACTGGCATATAATTCTTGCATCACAGTAGTACAAACACTAAACTTTGACATGAGCAAATTAAGAAACTAGTTTATTCAAGTGTCAGAGTGTTGCAGCCATACAATGCATTAACTGCCATCATGCCTTGCAAAAAAAAAAAAAAAATAACAGTGGCTTGTCAGTAGCACACAATGCACTACACTCGATCTGTTTTAAGTATTAACTCTATGGTGCTTTATAACCCATACAGTTTTAGTGCATGTTTTTGAACAAAATAATAATTAACTCTATAGCACAATATAAATGGAACTAAACAATGGTATTAAATATGGAAATATGCTAGTGGAATTCCTAGTAAATTATTCAAATTGACTGAATGGCATATTTATTGCTTTAGAGAACTATAATATCCTTTAAAGAGAATATGACATCCTTTGAAAGCAGTTTTGTGTAACCAGAAAATATACCAATTAATGCAGCTCTTTACTTACTCCCCGGTAATCACACTTCTACTGTCATGAACCCTAGCCTCTCATACTCACACACAACAAAGACAGACTGACACACACACACACACACCACACACATACATGCATGCATATACAACAGGCCTAGTGTCTAATTGACATGTGCCTAGGACAAAATGGTAACTAACACACACACACACACACAAGTAATATGCTAACCCAGATATTTACTAAAAATTACAACAGGTCAAAAATGTAAGTATAAAGATAAGGAGGAAGGAAGAAAGCAGCTCTGAGAAAGGAATATCAAACAAAAGCAAAAAAGAACAAAATATTTTACTAAAACTTGGAAAAAATAAACTGAATGAACAATACAAATATATAAAGTTTTAAAGATAATGACAAAATTGCAGAAATGTATGTTGAAACATGTGAGATATAGTGGTACTAAATGTAAAGTTCCAGAATGCACTTACACGACACTTTAGATATTGTGTTTTTAATTTTTTCACTATGATATCTGTATCAACAAAAAACAGTCTCTCTTTCCAACCACTGAAGTTGCTATTTCATTCTTCATGCTAAAAAATATTTGGAATTTCTCAGTCCTTTCTACAGGGATTTGTGAATTAAGAGGTGCAATGGTAATGTGGTAGGTGCTGACATTTGTTGTCCACAGCTCCAGAGACAATGAGGCCTCAGCTGACATCATCCAAGCATGCTTCAAGTTCCTTACACATTTAAAATCCTTGTATTCTTGTTTTTAACTATTGCATAAATAATTCAGGATTTCATACAGTATGTTATTACAATGTTTGGTGAATATATTATACACACACAGTAACCTCCCATTTTATGCAATCTTTTGTTTTGGCATATTTTTTTATTGCATACTCTAAAAAAGTGCTACCAAAAAATTAAACTTTTAAAAAATTTGTCTTTACATGCCATAATTTTTTAAACCCTGGTCCATGCCGTGATATCATGGCTTTGAGCTCAGGGTTCGTGCCGAATACGACACAAATTCTAGCAGCTTCAAATTTAGCATGAAAGGGCTGATAGTCCTACATATGAGAGAATGGGTCTGTGGGGTGAGTATGCACTATATAAAAAATCCTGCCACATAGAGTGCACAATGGGAAAAACAAACTGCGACCTTGTGTATGGCTTAAAACAATATCTCTGCAGTGTATTTTTGGAAAGTTTTATAGTTTTATTCTCAATTTCTTGGTATTATTTGAAAGAATGGATGACACATTACTGAATAGACATTTTTGATTAGATTCAGGACCTGAAGTAGCTTGACACCGAGTTCAAAGTAGCGGAAATACAGTGGACCCTTGACCAACGATGGCATCGTCTAACGTTAAATCCAACTAGCGATACATTTTAACACAAAAATTTTGCCTCGACTAGTGCTAAAAAACTCGACCAACATCATTCGTTCCGTTCGAGATGCGTCCACTTGTGGCCTGAGCATGCCAGTGTTTACAAGCCAGCCACAGTGGTCCTATCCAAACATACAATCTGAACATTTCATATTATCACAGCGTTTTTAGTGATTGCACCTGCAAAATAAGTCACCATGGGCCCCAAGAAAGCTTCTAGTGCCAACCCTACAGCAAAAAGGGTAAGAATTACTATGGATATGAAGAAAGAGATCATTGTTAAGTATGGAAGTGGAGTGCATGTCTCCGAGCTGGCCAGGTTGTACACAAAACCCCAATCAACCATCGCTACTATTGTGGCCAAGAAAACGGCAATCAAGGAAGCTGTTCTTGCCAAAGGTGCAACTATGTTTTCGAAACTGAGACCGCAATGATAGAAGATGTTGAGAAACTGTTATTGGTGTGGATAAATGAAAAACAGATAGCTGGAGATAGCATCTCTCAAACGATCATATGTGAAAAGGCTAGGAAGTTGCATGACGATTTAATTAGAAAAAGCCTGCAACTAGTTGGTGATGTGAGTGAAAATAAG